GTTGATAGCTTTAACATTCATCATGAAAATAAATAAATTATAATTGGAAAAGCAGGCTGCACTGTAATCAGAAGAATCATAGAAACAGAAACAAATCAGTTAGTGGTAAAATGTCTATAGAGGAGATGGAAAGCAAGCAGATCGTTGTGAACGAAGAAAAGTGTAAAGAAGAAAGAAAAAAATTATGAGAGATTATGACCAAGTTAGAAAAAGAAGTTATACCAATGTCTTTCGTACACATAACTCAGTGTCCTCAGTAAGAATACCATTTTTAAACCTTTATTTCACTGGTTGATACATTAGTCAGTTGGAGCTAGACCACCATGAAAACCTGGAAGCACTGTACGGCCTTTTCGTTCTAGTATGGGACTCCTCAGCAGTGCGCATCCACGATCCCGCACCCCGCGAGATTCGAACCCAGGACCTATCAGTCTCGTGCCAACTGACGTTACTGTTATCATTATTAAAATGAGTTTTATTATCATTTTTGAAAAACAAGTATATATCTGTGATTGTATGGCTTGGAAAAGAGAACTCTTCGCTGAATCAGTCTTGTTTTATTTTATTCAAATGGAAGAGAAATATAGAGATTTTTAAGAAACTAATCGAATATATATTTGCCATAACTACATGATATGGATACAATTACACGAGTCACTATATGTATATTCTTTACACTGGTCAGTAGATTAGTACATTACTTAAAATAGAATATCGATATTATGATAGTAATATTTGGTAAGATAATGAGTAGAGTATAAACTACAATTATTCTGCAGAGTTTATTGATACTTTATTCTATAACTTAAAATATAGATACTGAATATTAAAATTTGTTCAAGTAACTATAAAAGAAGAAATTATATCAGAATCATTTGTTTGTCGATCTGAATAAAATATTTAATATTTCGATACACTACTTGTTTGATTTCGTAAACGTTGCAGTCAGCTTAGCAACCAATCAGAATGAAGCGGGAATTATTATATCCGCCATCTTTGTAAGCAATGGCGGTCAGCTTTCTACGTTCTTTGTTTTTTCAACTATTTTTTTGTGTGGCTACATAATTTAATGTTTTAGTGTGCTAAAATACCTCAGTTGATGTAATGTTCTAAATGTTGGTGTGAAATTTATTTGGATTCAGCATTGTTTTCTGGTTTCTTTCTGGTGCTACTCAAGTCAATGTATTTCTTCAGGCAATCTGGCTGGTCTTATGTTATAAAATGTTAATCTGTTTTGTTTTGAGTACAACAATCCTTTCTTCAGTAACATCATGCACTGACGGTCTATCTAGAAACAATCAACTATGTGATTAAATTCACTATGACTTGGGATATCATCCCAGCGTGCAATAAACGTACAGTGTAACGCAGTCAGATGTGGCAAATAAAAACTACAACCAGAGCAAAATTAACAAAATAATCTAGTTATTTAATTAAAAATACATTGTGAAATGACAAATTCTATGATTGCTTGAATGCACAGATGACCGTCATTACACTGGGCGGTACATTAGGCTTACATGGTTGCGTTGCGGATAAAATTATCAACTTTTACTAAAATGATATTTGTAATAATTCTTACTACATTTCTATTGAAATTATTCTTGTTTGAACAGGTCTAATAAATGTGTTATTCTTGATTGAGTAATGATTAAGTTAATATTAATGAACATTGTCTTTGTACTTGTGTTCCACTACATTTATGACAACATTTGTATTTATCGTGCTAAATTTATGACTCTATAAAAAAATATTAAGCTAGTTGGTGATTATGTTAAATTTATGTTTAATATATTCTTGTTTATTCTCTATCTGAATAAACAAATGTTGCTACCTTGACGTGGTGATCGGGCTCGCCTAACGTGATGATGCAACCGAGCTATACTGGCTGGGACAAGCGTTCCTCAAGGTCCTACCATGTCAGACAGGTCATAATCAGCCTCCCTCTTCAATTCCTAATATTCCTCCTACATCGACTGACTGAATATCTATTTTTGAAACATTATTGTATTCAACTTTTAACTAACAGGATAAGTCACAAGAATATGTACGAAGTTAGTAATAGTATGTATCTTATTAGCCTCGTAATATTTCAGTGAAGTTAAATCAAGGTTATAGAATATTCACAATTAGAGATCGCATTTAATAAAATAACTGAGTAAGAATTATATTGAGTAGTCATAGAATAAAACAAATCACTATCCTAAAAAGGTTGATAAGGTTACAGGAAAGCTTCTGAGAAATGAGCAATATAATAGTGATAAAACTTTTGTGAAACATGTTGAAGTAATTGAACGTGTAGTTTACTGTAATAAAAATAATCAGAAGCAAGTCTTCATGTAAAAAAATTTAGTTCGGTCGCTGAAAACTCCTATACAGAGCATCTAATCATTTAGAGCTTTTATCAATACCGTTGGTTGGATTCTTCAACTAACTTATCCAAATCTCTAGCTTTGTATAGAGTTGTTCAGTTAATGGGTTGAATTTGATTGACCCCGATGTACTTTGATTTAATTGTAAGATTTAGTATGTATTGGGGTAGAATTTCAAGTCAGCACATTCTTTAGAATAGCCTTAAAATTTCGTATATTTTAAATGTTTACTTATTAAAATTAAGTAGCTAAAACATTTGTAAACATTTATGAATTTTGATAGAAAATAGTATGAAGTCTACTACTTCTAATTGATAGCCGATAGCCTTGTAACTGACTTTTTGACATGTCTTTAGATTAATGAGTGGCTAAAAGATTTTATCTCAGCACTCATTCATAGTATATTTTACGTGAATTTCAGAACTTAAGTAAAATAGGTCACTGATTTTAGAAAATGGTCAGGATTTTCACGTGAATTTGGGCATTTAGGCACGTCCTATGAAGAATGCTAAGTTGTCATTTCAACGAAACAGATATCAAGACTGGTATTGTTTTCACTTATAACCGTTACCATTTACAAAATATCAGTAAATGTCAGGTACACATAGTTTTAAATCTGACTCGTAAAATTAAGTAAATAACTTCAAGAAAGATTTATACATACAATTCCCTTAACCAATAAATTCTGTTTACTTTGAAAGTTTTAGTATTTTATGGTCATAATTGTGTGCTTTTTATTTGTCACTCCATACTACTGTCTACTAACAAGTATTCTCGTCCAGTTGCCATTTATACGTCAGTAACAAGCATTTTAACTAAAGAGATATGATTTCGAGGAATTTACCACTACTATTATTAGTGGCTTCGTTCAGTATTGAATTTTCGGTACAATACAGAATTCTCAGAACAAAATATTTCAACAAGTTTCTTTAACAAAACAAAAGAAAGAAAAAAACGATAACTGCATACATATATACATAAACTAAGTAACTAGTTTACCTGGAATTAAATGAAATGAAATTAACAATATTATAGTCACTACAACTTTTCAATCAGAAATATGTTTAAGAATACGAGGTATTGACTAGGTCAGCTCTTACAACCTCTTCGTCACATGGTATATTTCCTAGATAAGGTATTGTAGAGCTTTTATATTTTTGCTTCCGTGCATGGATTCTAATGCACTGACGTCTCGTTCTACCAGGAGATAGACGGGGAGGAATATATAAACAAAAAGGATAACTAGTATCTGTTAAGACAACGCCTGCCATGAGTTTGCAAGATTTTAAATGCCTATCCACAACCATATCAGTAATGACCTCAAAAGATTCACCATATACCCTGTATATGTATAACAAAAATCGTTGAATAACATTACATTTTGAGCTTAAAGTTATCTAAACATTTTATGCGTGTTTTCTGAAGTTGCATACTTTTTTGAGTGGTGATACATACATTCTAATTCGGTTTGATCACTAGACTTCAGTTCTCATTTGTCTTTTCGCTCTAGTAGCCGTTTAAGCTCTCATATATGGTGAGATTGTGTATCAGTATCAAAGCCTGAGCACCGCACGTTACAACATTATTTATTGTTGTACATTAAATTATTATGATGATAATCAGATGGTATCTTTGAATCGGGAAATTTCTACTAGTAATATCTGGAACTTTTATTTTCTAAGGAAAACTAGTGATTTAACCGTTATATCCGCGTTCCTGTTGACTATGTCTTTAGCGCCCAATTTTTGGTCACTACTGAAATATCAGAGGTGATCTCAGTGAATGTGCATATGTCACTTTTCCTATCTATGTAGGTGCGGTCTCTATTGTATACGTATTGCCTCTGTTGAATACTCAGTCTTATTGTTTATATTCTGAAACAAATATCACTACGATTCCCACAACTCTCAGTGAGGACGAATAAGACCGATGCAATCAAGATTTATTTGACTGTTTAAATAAAAGTCCCCAAAACAAATCCGGGAAAATCACGTCTGGAATCATATAATTTAAAGATCGAAGTACGATCATTCGTTTATTAATTTTCACATCAAAATATTCTGTTGTTTCTTTCGTTTTTATTTATTATTCAACATAGCAACCGTTTGGCTTGTCGAACAATTACTTTGATTATTATAATCCTCTTTCTTCCAATTAGTCGATATTGTTTTATACTTACAGTGACAGTATATAATTATTACGCAACCCAACTACTCGATGAGGATTATTTCATTGTTGTAAATCACACACACATACATACATATATCCATGACGAGAAATTAACTGAAAAGAAATTTCTTCGCTCTGTTCGTTCGTCTTAATAAGGGAACAATCTCTAGTAATTCGATGAATTCCAAGAATATTCAAAGAGCTGTTAGTAACCTATGTGTAAATTAATTGGGTCTAAATATTTTGATATTGTCTATTTGATCCTAAAATAGTCAATAAAAAATTTTATCTGGGAATCTTTTTAAGTGTTCGCAGCATTAAATAGTCTGACCACTTAGTACCAGGTTCGATGTACACTAGTTTCTTTAGTGTTTAGGACGAAGTTGTGAGATCTACCGAGTTACACTACAGTACAGTTCAATATCTACTATTGTAAAATATATACGAACAACTCCAGAATACTTTGAGCAAATGAAATTCTATTGATAATTTGTATAAGAAGTGTACAGCTTAAAGGTAAGGCCTAATACTCTAAAATAAAAAGCATATTCTTGTGAGATTTGATGAAGGGGAAACATCGAAAATTCGGTATGAACTCAAGTCTTCAACACAAATGTTGGGCATAAATGTACAAGGTTGTGTTAGAACACTTATCGGTCGTCTAAAGTAATACACAGGGATAAGTATGTAATTATTATTACTTGATCAATCTGTCATGTTTCACCATCAAAATCAACTCCAGTGAGTGTTGTATTGATTGAATCCGTATCACTATTACTTCGACTTAAACCTATTGTTCTCACTGTTGGTTTACTAGGGAAATCAATGACAGTTTCACGATTTTTCACAGTTTGTACACGTTCCATTTTATATGCCTCTGGCTCTAGCCGACATCCAGCTTCAAGTTGTCGCAGTAGACCAGCATTTGAACTATTGTCACATTGTAAAATTGTGGCTGCCCATAGATCATCTTCTAAATAATCGATAATTTGTAATCCACGAGTAATATATGATAGTGAAGTTTCTGACATGTTCAAATCATGATGTGGTGAATCCATATCACTTAGACTCTGTAAACAATAACAAAAAAATACGAGTTGAAACAATGTTGTAAAAGTCAAATGAATAACTTCAGTCTTATAAATAAGCTTTAAACTTGAACAGAATAATTAAAATGGAATTATAAAGATGAATGAAGTAGGAATAATAAAAGGCATTCGAAAAAACAACTGATATTTCAAGAAACTTTTCCCATGCTTCACAATATTGAATTTGTTTTGTTTACTATACTAACTTCATCAAACACTCCAAAACCTGGATTATTTTAAATGAAACGACATATACTACTAAGAAGTACTGATTTATTTAGTATTGTTTAAGTTATTCATAAGTCAACATTGCTTGCATGTGAACGCTTAAACCTGACAAAGTTTAAATTGCATACTTTAAAGGTACACTGAACTTCATCTTACAATCGAATATTGACAAAAATAAACAGATGAAGATACACGGTACAATTACTAAATGAAGAATGATTTTTTCCAAATAACGCATGGTAGATGGATGATATTCAGGAAAATTCTGATTACACTTTAAAAATTAATATCACATACTAATGATTATTCAAAGATAAACTTGTTCGGTTTCTCAGCATGATATAGTTACTTCACGAGTCAACCGAAACTTCAGTGAGCAGTAAAACTAAGTACACAATCATTTTGGTTATTCACTAATTACACTGACCGATCGATTTATGATTGTAACTTATCTGTATTATAGACAATCGACGAAGTAAGTTTCAATAACACGTGAAGTAAACATTAGTTTTTAAAAAAGCTTAGGATCGAATGATTCGATTTCCTAAACAAATGATATTTAGTAGCATTTTCACAGCTGAAATCACTAACCGATTGACGAGGGAGACTACTATTGAAAAACTAGAAGCATTGGATGGCTTTTTTAGTTCTAGTATGGGACTCCTCGGCAGTACTCATTCATCGGAGTTCGATCCGTGTTGGGTGTGAAACAGTTATTCATGGCAGGGAATAAATGAAGGGTTGAACATGATCATAGATTGATTCAAGTTAAACATCAACACCGTTTTATGTACAAGTCACTGACAGTTGATAAAACGGAACAATATTATAAATGTGGAATTATGTAAATAACAACAAAATATCATCAAGCTATTATCATATATATGCAAAGATGGATAATGGCTAGCAATGGAATCCAGGACGCTCGTTTCGTCCTAATCGGGACTCATCAGTTAGATGTGCCTGCACCTCATAGTTGATGTTCACCCTGGGGCTCGAACTCAGTACCGTTCACTTCAAACGCCATCTCGTTGTCCACTTAGCTACTCAGGCACTACACACAGTATGCACATATGCCAATAAGAGACTGATCAATTACACTCCTAAACATCCATGGGAAGATTCAACAAAGCAATATCAAAAACACAATTGTATGAACGAAGAATATTCTTTTCAATAATTTCTCATCAGGTTCTACAATTATAAATCCAGATTAATAATCCATAAAATTGGCCAGATTTAAGGCAAAATACATCATCATTTGGAAATGGTAATATGTGAATCAGGAATTGTTTGTTATATAAAAATAAAATCGTTAATGTTGGGGCTGACTAATATGAAGTGTTAACTTGAATCAGTTTATAAGCGAAATGAAATTGTGAGATAAATTATCAGAATAAATATGGTCAACATGGGGTAAGAGAGAGAGAGCGAGAGAATATTGTGATTACAAATCGGAAATTGCGTAATATGTAAAATAATCAGGTCAAATATAGTAGGTTCAGGGGTGGATATTAAATAAATTCCTCAAAAAGGGTTTATCAAGTGTAAAGACAATAATAGTAATAATAATAATAATAATAATAGTAATAATAATAATAATAAGTTTGGGACATAAAATGAACATTAATCAGATTATGTCACCACATTATGAGATTGATTATTAGCTAGTTGACCAGGGTAAAAGGAGAGGCTGAACATACTTCTTTTGGATACAAAGCTCTGGCTTTTTGATCCGAATAGCAATTGCTTCAGCTTCAGGTTGAAAGATAAATTACCTAGACTAGCCACCTCCTTCTGTATCTATCAATTCAACTGCTCCTGTGGAGCAAGTTATATCGGCAGATGTTCTAGGAATTTGTACATTCGGGCTCGTGAGCACCTACCCGTGTGGTTAAGCAAAGGTGTTGTCAAAACTGTTAACAGCTCCATCTTAGACCATTTAGTCCAAACAGGACATACAGCCAACATGGAGCAATCTTTTGCAATAGGTTATCGTGTCAACAGCAGTCTACCTAATTCCGTCAGACTGCGAATCCTACAGACGGCTGAAGCAATTGCTATTCGGATCAAAAAACCAGAGCTTTGTATCCAAAAGAAGTATGTTCAGCCTCTCCTTTTACCCTGGTCAACTAGCTAATAATCAATCTCATAATGTGGTGACATAATCTGATTAATGTTCATTTTATGTCCCAAACTTATTATTATTATTACTATTATTATTATTATTATTATTATTATTATTATTACTATTATTGTCTTTACACTTGATAAACCCTTTTTGAGGAATTTATTTAATATCCACCCCTGAACCTACTATATTTGACCTGATTATTTTACATATTACGCAATTTCCGATTTGTAATCACAATATTCTCTCGCTCTCTCTCTCTTACCCCATGTTGACCATATTTATTCTGATAATTTATCTCACAATTTCATTTCGCTTATAAACTGATTCAAGTTAACACTTCATATTAGTCAGCCCCAACATTAACGATTTTATTTTTATATAACAAACAATTCCTGATTCACATATTACCATTTCCAAATGATGATGTATTTTGCCTTAAATCTGGCCAATTTTATGGATTATTAATCTGGATTTATAATTGTAGAACCTGATGAGAAATTATTGAAAAGAATATTCTTCGTTCATACAATTGTGTTTTTAATATAATGGGAATTTTTCATCAATTAAAAGCAATATCAAGTAAATATTATTACATGTGTAATAATTATAATGTAGTCTGTATACAATTTATCTAATCACCTATATATAAATCTAAATAGATAATATATAAAGACAATCATAAAATTTGTGTAATATATAGGACATTGATAATGGTAATTGAACAATTAAACAATAAATGTATAATAATTCTTATCATTAATCATTTTAAAAAAAATTAAATTAATCAGATAAATAAATCCGCATAAAGTTTTGTTTAATTTAAATGAATCTCGTGGAAGAGGGCGAGATCGTGGATGCGCACTGCTAAGGAGTCTCACAATAGGACGAAATGGCCGTTCAGTGCTTCCAGGTTTTCCATGATGGTCTAGCTTCAATTGACTTATGATCTAAACTATTAAAATTACTATTATATCCATAAAACCCCTTCTGATAATTTAAATGAATCAAATCTAGTTCATTATATCATTGTCCATTAATTATTATATAGAATTAGTCTATATATCATCAGATAAAATTGACAAAATAATCCTGAAAATAATCAGCATTTTATTGATTTATAAACAATAAGATAACTTTAATGAAAATCTGTATTGTGAAAATGGTTGTATAACTTTAGTCTGTATAATCTTCTTAATAAATTTCATTAGAAAGCTAATGATTGAACTTTATGATTTAGATACATGAAGATATCTGTAAGCCGAATGAATGATTCTTATGTAACACACAACTTGAGATTTTTAATATAAAAGATAAATAAAAAAGAAATCAATAGTTATTGATTTATCTTGGAGACAAAATTCTCATTCGAAAAACTAAATATCTTTCACATTCTTCAATTCTTATTACAATAATTAATTTATAAAAGCTTCATCTGTCAAATCTAAGCATTTGAAATTTCATGGGATGTATATTCGGCTAAGTTACTTTTTTTTTAAAATGAATGTTAATTGAAAAAGATTTCTGAATTCTATGCAGAAAATAAAAGCCTTAGACAGCGAGTGCTAATGTATATTGATGTATTTCGATAGGCAAATTTACGGCGAAATGTATAGTATATTGATTAGCTTAAGTAACTTTTCGAATGATGGCATAATTTTAAAGTCACTTTTCGGTATCTGTATAAATAGAAGATATTTCATACTAGGGATAACGAAATCTGTTTGAATTTAGGGGTTTTTAGGAATATCACTACACAGGCACTTAAAATGTGACCAAATTTTCTCCAAATTTCTCTGATAGTCATAAACAGCTTAAGAGTTTTAATGAATACTGTAGATTGATATTGCTATCGTATATTTTATGCAATAGAAGATGAAAGTTATTCATATTTAAATTTCAAGTGAAGACCCAATGTTAAATTTTTTTAATTCTACCTGGTTTATCCTCACTTTACATTTTCATTGTATGTTCCTTCAATTTAGTCATTCAACGCACTGCTGAGGAGTCCCACGATAGGAAGAAACAGCCATCCAGTGCTTCTAGGTTTTCCATGGTGGTCTAGCTTTAACTGACTCATGATCTCAACCATTGAAATTATTATAATATCCACAAAAACCCCTTAAATAACTTTACAACGAAAGTTGTAGAGTTCACTGAAAATTTAACAAACGCAATTGTAGCAGTAGTCTCTGCATCAGTAGGCCTCAGCATACACAAGGAGAAAACAAAGGTCCTCAAATACAACACGGAGAACACCAATCCAATCACTCTTGATGGAGAAACTCTGGAAGATGTAGAATCCTTCAAATACCCGGAAGCATCATCGATAAACAAGGAGGATCAGATGCACACGTAAAGGCGAGGATTGGCAAAGCAAGGGCCACATTCCTACAATGAAGAACATATGGAACTCAAAACAACTTTCAACTAATATCAAACTGAGAATCTTCAATACGAACGTCAAGGCATTCAGTTCTACTGTACGGAGCTGAAACTTGGATAACTACTACAACCATCATCAAGAAAGTGTAAGTGTTTATAAATAGTTATCTACGCAAGATACTCAACATCCATTGGCCGGATACCATCAACAACAGCCTTTTATGGGAGGGAACAAACC